TGTTGAAAATTATGTTATCCACACGCAGATTTAGAAAAATTTGTTCTCCGTACACAAGTGAATAAAATATTTTAGACACGGTTGAATGGAAAATTACGTTTTTTACACACATGTATAGAAAATCATGTTTTTCGCACACTAGTGTTGAAAATTGTACTTTCCACACGCAAATTTTGAAAAATTGTTTTTTTCCACACAAGTGAATAAAATGTTTTACACACACTTGTATGGAAAATCATGTTTTTTACACACAACCGTTGAAAATTATGTTTTCCACACATGGGTTTAGGAAATCAGATTTTCCACACATAAAAAAATAAAATTTTCTTCACAACTCAATTTTCCATACTTTTAAAAGTCAACAATGAAATATTTTTCGAAAAAATTCTTGTGTTATTAATAGACATTGATTGTTTTTGTTACAAAGTGATTATTATTATGCGACACAACATTAACGCGGAATGTTTTATTTGCAATGTGAGTATTCATTACGAAGCACTTACGGATATATTTTTGTGTTTATAAAGTGTTTAATGTGTGTTGTGCATGGAATCATTATCGTCACCCAAACACTGACACACACATGGCTGACATACAAATTAAAATAGCATGTGTGTCTGGTTTTTTCGTGCTTCAACCTTGTGTGTTGTTGATTGTGTTGATTGTTGATGTTGATTTAGACGTATACCGCTCACGTTTGATTTATTGCACGTAATTGGCTGCTTTTTCAAATTTCACACGAATTACATTCGTATTTGTATATATTTTGAAAGCAGATGAGACATATTTTGATGTTTTTAATAATAAATACGCATGTGGCGTGCAGTGAACTTAAAATTTAAATTTATAAACACATATTGAAGGAGAGTTAACATATGTTATTGTTAAATATATTTGTTTTCATAAAAATGACTCATAATTGATAAATATTTAATTATTCGTGTATGGTTTTGAAATAAATGATTTTTCAAATCGATAAATGTGTAATTTGGTGCTTTAACCTTGATTTTGATTTTTCCGTTGAAACTTGCGATGCGTTTCCAATTTTGACTCAATTCCCTCGAATGACTCGACTTCTATTTACGGCATAAACATAATACGCGTTATGTACCTCTCGGTGCTTGTAACGAAACTCGAACGCAGAAAAAAAACTTGATTATCCAGCGCCTCCACCAACCCTCGTGTATTATGCATATATTACCCGGTCGGTGATGTATCACGCGTGGAAATTTCACTTCACGCTGCCGAGGCAATTCAAATTTCAAATGTAATTACAATTCATCTCGGCGGTAAATATTACTCAGCGAATGCAAGTTTTCAATTCAATTTTCCAGGTGTTAATAAATCAAAATGCAGTGGAATTATTTTTCTTTTTTTCTCTTCGGTGACGAAATACGTCTATTTCCAGCCGATGATCCCTTTGGTATTGAACGCGTTGTCGTATATTTTATTCGTGTGCGTAAAAGTGTGGTGGAGGCGCCGGGCGAACCTCGCCCCCGGTTCGATATACGATCATCCGTGTCTTTATGCATAATACGTTGATTCCCGGCCATTCCGCGCGCACAAAGCGGCTAATGAAGCTCGCCGCGCCCGCATTTTCTTCTCGCAGCCCCGAATAGCCCCGTTTCCCATTTGCATTCGGGGTCCCGACGCGCCGAGGAAATTACATTCGCCGAACCTAACCTCACGTGCGGACTCTTTGTGTTTTCACAGGGTTATTTGTATATAGGTACGGCGTATCTAATTGTTATGCTCGTTTTGTAAACCTATTGATTGTGTGTTTTTTATTCTTCGACTACGGAAGGTAATTTATTATGTTTTATAAACATTTATTAAGGGTGCATGTAATTTTAATTGGAATTTGTTCGACAAAAGTGTTTTGTTTTATTTTTATGTTGATTATTATTATTATTATGGCTGATTAATTATGCAGCACTGCGAAAATAATTTCCCGCATGAGCTTTCGGCGCGCGCTGTGTGTAATAAAATTGCCTAATGTTTGTGTTTGTCGCACGCACCCTTTGTAGAAATCGATGTTTGACATGTTTGGGTAAATCTCAGGGTGCAAACTACCTTGTTTGTAATTCTATTTGCTTCTAAAACACAAAAAGGGAAAAATTTTTTTAAGTTCATAAAGTTGAAATTGAAGAACTTTTTAAAAATACACATTTTCAATAAAATTGTGCAAGTGCCTAAAATAACATTTTAAAGTTGAAATTTTATACACTTAAATCAAGATTATAAAGTAGTACTTTACACACCCAACTAAAAAATACATTTTTTGTTACTAAAAAAAAGAAAATTTGCAATAAAATTTATTTTTCGACACAAGTGCCTAAAATAACATTTTCAACACGTGTAAAAAGTTGTACTTTACACACTGAACCCAAAAAAAACTTAATTTTTTTTATTTTAAAACAAAAATAACCAAATATTAACTTCAAAATGTTTGTTTTTAGGTATTTATGACTCAACCTGTTCTTCTTCTCCTTTGATAATATCTTTTGTTTGCACAGCACAAGCTATCATCACCTGAATGCACCCGCTCGTTATTAATACGTTAGCATATGTATAAATAAACATCAACATGATCATATTCATGAGCCGCCGCCGCCGTGCCGCACGCGGCGCAAATATTTTAACGATAGATAAACGAAGCGCGCCGCACGCTGTTTAATAGCATTAATAATATAAAACACACACACATACATAACCTATATATTAATATTAAAGCAGCCACGTGCAATAGTACCTCTCGGATGCCTTGATAACCTCAAATGTCAAAAATAAGCGCGCGGCCATTTTGCGGGCAAAATTAAACCGGTTTCGACACTTAATCTATGCAAATATCGACTAAACTAATAAACGAAACAATTTATTCGTACACGCCTGATAGATGGAAATAGATTTGCAAATATCGAGGTAAATTATGTCGTGTGGTTTTTTTGGGTGATATTTCGGAACAAATGTATCGATAACAGTTTATGCCGCAATATATTTCAACGAAAATAAATGCGCGAGTTTTAAGTCACTTTAAGCTTTAATACTATAGTTTATACTTTATAAACAGAAATAAATTTCGAATCGAAATATTTTCAATGATAATATGCGATGTGTTGTCATGGCAACATGTTTGGTATGACAATATTTGTGTGCGCTTGCACTACAAACAAACAAATTACATACGCGTATTGAAATAATACCTGATAATAAATACGTTCGGTTTTAGTTTGAGTTTGTTGATAATACGTAGTGTGTGAGCACTGTTTTTTGATTAAAAACGGATCAGGCTAATCTTGTTGTGGCGTTACTTATGTAACTCTATAATCTAATCAACAATCGTTAGCGATGAATCAGAAACTAATTAAATATTTATCCGGCTTTGATGGTCCTTGAAATACGATAGATATCAAGTATAAATCAGTTCAATGTGAATCTGCACAAATATAAATAGAGAATGATGTTTTTTAATATGTAATAAATTTTGAGTTTTAGTTTTTGTTGAATATCTTTTAAACTATTTGAGATAGATTAATTATTTAAACGGAAATAGATTCAGAATTTAATTGTGCATGTAATGATCTGAATTTTTTGTTTATTAAATTTTTGTTTAAATAGTTATTAATGATTTAAAACGATTTATTTTTATTTTTATGTGTAAAAATATATTTTTGAGTTTTTGTTTAATAACTCGTGAAATATTTAAGGTAGATCAATGGATTGAACAAAAATAGATTAAAAATTTAATTCTTTATTTAATAATAACATTGTTTTGTTTATTAAATTGCTTTTAAAAAGGTTATAACAAATTTTATATAAATTTTGATTAAAAACTGCAATTTTTGGTTTCAAGCAAAATGCAAATTAAATTTGGAATAACTTTTAAAATATTATAGGTAGAATAATTATTTAAACAAAAATAGATTCAAAATTTAACTGCGCATCTAACCACTAAAATATTTCCTTTATTAAATTTTTATTTAAAACTTTATAAACGATTTAAGCGCGGAATTTTCAATTCAAAACCGTATTTCCGCATTTTTATTCAATAACTCCTAAAATATTAAAGCCGCAATAATGAATCAAACACAAGTATATTAAAAATTTATTAAATTGCTTTTAAAAAGGTTATAACAAATTTTATATGAATTTTGATTAAAAACTGCAATTTTCGGTTTCAAGCAAAATGCAAATTAAATTTGGAATAACTTTTAACCAATTTGAGGTAGAATAATAATTTAAACAAAAATAGATTCAGAATTTAACTGCGCATCTAACCACTAAAATATTTAGTTTATTAAATTTTTATTTAAAACTTTATAAACGATTTAAACGCGGAATTTTCAATGCAAAACCGTATTTCCGCGTTTTTATTCAATAACTCCTAAAATATTTTAGCCACAATAATAAATCAAACCTCACTATATTCAAAATTTAATTCTTTATATAATAATAATATTATATTGTTTATAAAATCATTCCTAAATTAATTTTTAACAAATTTAAATTGAATTCCATCGAAAACCACAAATTGCTCTTTAACATTTCATATATTTCTTGCTGAAAATTTAGTTCTTAACAACTTGAACGCTGTGAATAACACAGCGCGCTATATCTTTATTGCGCGGGTGTTATTTACCGAATTAAACGTAATGTGTCTTGCGGTGGCGGGCGGCGGTTCAAGTTGATAGTTGGCCGGCACAAAACCACGCGCGCACACTTATGCCATCATAGACGCGAGCGTCGCAAAGCATGTGGGTGACAACTTAACGTCTTTGCGCCATGAGATTTAAATTACGATATCATTCTGTGAACTTTCAGCCTGTCTCCCGCCGTCTAACTTTACTTCCACCGCGGATAATACTCGTACCTCACCACAATACAAGTATCATACTCATTCAAAGCTTGAATTTTAACTTTTTGTTTAATCTCTCACAGAATTATCAAAATCATAAAAAGATTTATTTACTTCTTGATCTTTAAACAATTTAGTAACTGACCTTTGATATAGTTGTTTATATTCACTCATTCACTCACAAATAAATTTTATTATTTACACTCTGACACACACGCACACCAAACACAAAGCCACTTAACACTTAAGTCACTTTAAACTTGTTTTAGCTGAGTTAACGTTTTAATATCCATTGATTGTAGTGTGGATGCGTAGATTATACGCCAGCCGCGCACATTTCGAGAAGTTATTTTTGTGTGTAACCTTAGCTGGATGCAAATTCGCGATATGCAAAGCGCGGTTAAAAAAATTTTTTCGGTGTTTTCGCGGGCGGTCGGTCGGTCGCGCTCTCGCGGAACGTGTACGCCGACAGCGCGCGCCCGTCGTACACTGCATTCCTGCCGCCGTCAGCGCGCGCGCCGCCCGTCGCCCCCGGCGCGCCGCCGCGTAACAGGAGTCGCGCGCCGAGCGCACGCCAGCTAAGCGAGATTAAGATTAATGCAACGTTTTTCCTCCTCCTGCGTCGCACAGACGCGTCAAACATCATAATATCCTTACTTATTTGATATTTATTTCTGTCAACACTCTACGACACTGCAAAATGAGGTTAGAAATATTATTATACACGATATAACTATATGCAACCAAATTTACACATTGTACTACGTCGTAGGTATATAAGTGGGAATATTATCTAAATAGTTAAGTAATTACACGCGTTTCAAGGACATTTGTGTTTACACACTACTTCTATTATTATTCCACGCAATATTGAGCGCCGTCTCAAGCAAGGCGGACAAATTAATTAGCCCGCTTGCATTTCTGCCGCGGTAATCACTTATCAGTGTGCATAATTAACCAGCGCCGAGTTCGATTGTTGTTTGATCATGCAAATCAAGCTCAGTCAGAGTTACTCACTCAGCTGCACATTGCTTAATTGATCTAACTTCTAAATTAACCAACCCTTAATTTACGCATGTGTGTAAGTATTGGGTTTGTTGGTAAAACTTTAAAACTTAAAGTCGCCATATTGGAAAATCTAAGTTGTTGGCACATTATTTGATTTAGTGTGTCACGTCTACTGAGCGTATGCATAATTTATCACTTCTGGTAGACGTTTTTTCAACGCCCACCCCTTGTGCTGCCCGAAAAAAAAGAAAACAAACACGAAAACGGGGACAAGGAAAAAAGCGCGCGGCGAGCGTAGGCGGTAACGACAATAAAATCGATCGTCACAATGCATTCCGGCGCGCAGAGGGGTTGGTTAGGGTTGTGGATATGCGTTAACCACCGAGAGCGTAACGAAGGTGTGAATTGACAATCACAAAACTACCAATACAACCCCTACAAACACTTTTTTTCAATTTTTTTCTTCAAAATTTAAATTTTTGCATTTTGAGGTTAAATTTACGATTTTTAGAGGTTATATTAGCAGGGGTATAATTAATTATGCGCACGAACAAGTTTATAATTGTACGCAACCACCCTTGGAGGGTATTCGGGGCTAGAGGTAGTTTCGGACTAATTGGAAATACCTTCTGGGTTCTTGAAATATCGACTAGGCGATCGATTGCACCCGGAGGTATTTGCAGTCCATGCTCCTCCAAACATACCAGAGATCTTGGACCTGTTATAGGTTATACTAGGTTATGTAAGGTCAGGTATTATTATTTTCAAGAATTTTTATCTGATGGGCTGGAAAGTTTGTCAATTACAAGCGGAAATTAACTTTGCATTTTGGCACTGAGTGAATTACGAGCAATGTGAAGGGAAATGCTGGCAAAGCGGGAAAAACAGTCGAATATTCAAACTAGGTCTAAATGACTTATTGATTTGGTGGTGGTGATGCAGGTTTGGACAGAAGCGACATTTAACGAGTTGTGAATTGATCAATTTATCGTTTGGGTGAATTATGGATAGGATTTTAGTGGGATAATGGTGTTTTTATTTACTATTTTATAAAATACTACCTATATTTTTACGTTTTAGTAAATTTTGTTTGCATTTTTATTTAATAACTCGTGAAATATTGAAGATAGAACAATGGATCAAACAAAAATAGATTCAGAATTTAACCACGCATTTAACTTTTATAATGTTTTGTTTATTAAAATATTGTTTTATAGGTTATAGAGGATTTAAGTGAAATTTTTTATTAAAAATTTATTTCTGGGATTTTATTCAATAACTCGTGATTTATTTAAGACTAGCTTTAACCCGCGACTTCGCTCGTGAATATCTAAAATAATGAAGTTGCTTCCGTACGCGTCTGTAGTTATAGAAGAAGTAACAATGAAATAGAATGGCGGGAAGTTTAAAATGGCTGAAAGTATAGTCTATGGAAGTATAGTGTACAGTCTCCATAGTGTAGTCAATTGGATTTGATGTTGACGTAGCTGTCGGTAATACAGTGTGATAATACAGTGTGATGGTACTATAGTACTTAGGTTTGAGCTTCATTGCTGGAATGCTAGATGGCGTTAAAGTAGTCAAATTGCCAGATGCAGAGGTATTATTGACCAAACAATTTCTTTATTTTATTTAAAAAATAATTTTTTTATTAAATAAAAAGTAGCCTATAACCATTCGGGGACCACTAAGAATATGTGTACAAATTTTCATGATGATCGGTTGAGTAGTTTTTGCGTGAAAGTGTAACAAACATCAGGACTTTCGCATTTATAATATTAGTAGGAATAGAATAATGGATCAAACGGAAATAGATTTAAAATTTAATTCTGTATATGATAATAAAATTATTTTGTTTATTAAATTTTTATTTAAAAAGTTATAACAATTTTAAAGTGGATTTTCTATAAAATCACAAATAACTCTTGAACTTTTTGTTTATTCAACAAGACAAATTTTCTTTGGAAAACCCGATTTTCCGATGCGGAAAACACACTTTTCACCGCCGCGTTATTGTACAGAAATTCGCATTTTCCACCTCCAAGTCAAGAAAACACTCTGTTTTCTGCATGTTATGAGTTATAAATAGCATATTTGTTGCATACGTCTAGATTTACAATTTTATCGATTTCAACGAACTTTTCAATTATCGCGTGCGTTTGAAAGTATTGAATAATGCATTTCCACATGCCCACTGCATGCTCACACATTACGTCGAATTACACTTTACTTTCAGTCGTTGGGTTATATTTACGTCTGCCGTGAGTGATCCGCTCTGCGAGGTCAGTTTGCACAAATAGGTTTTTGAATGACATATTTACGCTTACATCATGTCAGCGGAAAAAACAGCGTGCAACATGTACAATGCCTAAATTTAGTTGCGACTTTAGTTTACGTACGCCGATGAATAATCGCGCAGATAAAATCCAATTAAATTCTGTGTCCAGAAAGACACTTGATGCGATTGAGACGGATTTGTACGCAATACAAACGAAAATATTTATACTGCCATTATTTTTCCGCATCGCTGCGCTTGCTCCTCGACCATTCGCTGTCAAATAAAAAACATTTCATTGCCCGCCGCCTTCTCGGGATCAAATAATCTTCAGATGGAGGTCTATAAAATAAAAATGAAAGAGGAATGTATCGAAATTGAATAAAACGATTTATTGTGTTGCTTTTTTGTTAGAAAAATAAAAAAATAATCTATTTGTGTTTAACGCGTTAAATTTTATGTAAATAAATTCCACGAGCGACAAAAACGGATGTCAACTTAATTACTTAACTTATCAATAATTAATATCACACGTTCAGGTTTTATGTGATAGAATTACGCATGACAATAAAGGCAGGAAAGCTTGTATGTGAATAATTTATGCCAAACTTCATACGGCGATTCAATGGCGCGCCGCTAGAATTGGAGCATATTAAATGTTGATAACTTGCACTCGCGGTCGCCGTCGAAATATTTCATACACCAATAAACGCCACGCGCGCGCGATCAAATTTTAATTACAATTACATCACTGCACTGACAGTGTTGCTGTCGATGTGATTGCCAGCATTAGATAAATTAAGTTTTCGAATTTCAGGAATTACCGCCATTACGATCACCGCAGACATAACCTATATTGATGATATAGATGGCGCTCGTATTCATTATATTCGATAATTAATTCGGAATATTGCAGCGCTAATTAAAGCATTTAGACGAGCAAAAATAATCTGATATTCCGGGAAGAATTAATTATATCTCCGAATGCAAATTTAATCATTTAATCATTGACAATTAAATGAAATTTAAGTAATTTAACATAAATTATTTTCTAACCTCTGAATTTTAATTTTAATTTTTTATGTTTTCGTCGTTAATGTCGGCTATAAACGTAAATAATCCGATGTTAAGATACACGGGTGTTAATTTCGTGTTTATTGATGATATAAAATCGTATTTTACAGGTTATGTTGAAAATGTGAAATGTGAAAGCATTGGAAAATTAATTAATTTTGTTTAAAAATAAGATCGCATTGAATACGATTGCACTTTTCATTGTGTTTTAATGTTTTGCCAGTGAACAACATTAACTATAATGACAGCTTTGCGTTCCCGCAAGCAACTTACGCGATGGAATATGCAGGAACAATTAAAATTTGCATTTCACTTTATGAACACTTTGCATTGTCTACGAGCTCGTTAATGCAGCTGCGTCTTTCAGCATCATGCAGCAAAAAGCAATAATGTGCTAATATAATATGAAGGCATTACCTGTATTTACGATTTTCATCATTCATTAAATTAATAAAAACAATAGTTTATTATTTTATTATTATTATTTATAATTTGTATTCCCTGATGAAGAAATAAATTATATTTATGATGATGGAGTACAATAATTTATTTTATAGCAATTTAAACTTTTGTATGAGGAAGGAAACAAGAAAGTTATATTAGATTGCACTATCATGCAAATTACAAAGCAGACGCGCATAATTATTACCTAAGCCAAAACTACATTTTGTCTGCTTTGGCATTCCGGTTGATGTTTACTTGCCCGCTGCTCGCTTGTTTTATCCAGTGTAAAACTGGAAACAAATACGAGTACATACAAATGCGATGTTAATTTAAATTAGTGCATACTTGAAAATTTGCTACAAAACAACAATAAACTCAAGTATTTACATTTTAACTTGCGGATCGTTGTATTATATATTTTAACATTACTTTTAAACAAGTTATCTTTTTTATATTTATTTTTTAAACTAAAGGAAGCCCAATATGACCAAAATTCAATCAATTAATGAATTAATTCTCTATTAGAATAGCGTATTAAATAAATAAATATCGTAGGGTAAAAGGGCATAAAATGTAATTGAAAGTGCTAAAAATTAAAATTTTTCAAATTTTGATGATTTTTTTAAATCGCGAATATTTCGTAAATTAACAGAGATAAATAGGTACAAATCGCAGAG